GAATCTAGAAGCAGATAAAATAGTTGTAGTTGGTGATTTAAATGTAAATTTGCTGCAGGATTCTGCATTTAAAAGGCGGCTAGAGCATTATTTTGAAATATATAATCTAAACCAAATTGTCAAAAAACCAACAAGAGTTACAGATATATCACAAACACTGCTCGATTTGATTTGTATTAAAAAGGATATGGAGTATGAATAGTGTAACTCTTTTACATATGACTGATCACTTTTTGGTAAAATGTGGTTTAAAAATATCTATAAATAAGCCTAAATCTAAAACTATTTCTTTTAGAGATTACCATGGTTATAGAATGGATGATTTTGCAAGAGATGCTATGAAAATTGATAGGACTTATTTTTATGAGATAGACAACATAGATGAAAAAGTTTCTTATATGAACAGTGCTATAACCTCAATTTTTGATTTCCATGCACCATTAAAAACAATAACTTTAACAAAAAATAAACATCCTTACATCACATATACAATTAAACAAATGCTAAAGTTAAAAAAGAAAGCTTACTAGAAATATAATAAGTCAAATTCTGATAGAGATTATAAATACTACAAACAACTTAGAAATTTAGCTGTAGAAGCCATAAGAAGAGAAAAAACAGCTTTTTTTCAACAAAAAGTAAACATAAATTTAAACAATTCCAAGCTTTTGTGGAAAAATCTAAATAGCCTAAATATAAATCGCAAAAATGAGCCAACAATTCCAACTGACCTAGTAAAGGCTGATGAATTAAATAATTTCTTTATTAACTCCACACTATGTCCTGTAAAAATGTATGTTCTTTTTATTATAACAACAAAAAACCTCTCTTACAAGTATCTTTTGATTTTCAAGAAGTGAGCGAAGAAGTACTAAAAACGTTTAAGACTATAAAATCAAATGCTAATGGCATCGATCAGATAGATTTGAAAATGTGGAAAATTATACTGCCTTACTGTTTAACACATATAACATACCTTATAAACCTTTCACTATCCTCAGGATTTGTGCCATCTCTATGGAAAGCTGCAAAAGTAATACCTATTCCCAAAAAGCCTATGCCAAATGAACCATCTGATCTAAGACCAATAAGTATATTAACTTTAGCATCAAAACTTTTGGAAAAGATTGTACACAAACAAACAATGGAGTATGCAAATAAAAATATTCTTCCTGGCATGCAGTCCTGTTTTAAACGGCATCACAGCACAAATACAGCACTACTAAAAATTGCCATGGTGAAAGCTATGGACAATTCTGAAGTCACACTTCTTATTTTACTTGATTATAGCAAGGCCTTTGATGTTATAAATCATGAGCTCTTAATAGCCAAGCTAAACTATTACTTATTTAGTGAAGAAGTTGTATGGTTGTTTGAAAACTATCTATCAGAAGCCAGTATGTTTACTTAAATGGGATGATATCGGATCTAGCACCAGTTACCAAAGGAGTACCACAAGGAAGTATTCTTGGGGCTCTTTTATTCACAATTTTTACGACGGATATGCACAATATTATCTCATACTCAAAAATTCATCAATATGCAGATGATACGCAGTTGTACAAGTCTTGTTCTCCCATTAATATTATACCCCAAAAATACCATATCTACCCTGAATGAAGACCTTAAGTCCATATCTAACTGGTCAAAAGCAAATGGACTTTTGTTAAATCCAAAAAAAAAACAAAGGAATGTGTGCTGGAACTCGTGTAGAACGAAATAAAGCTTTAAACCTAATAAACTGTGATAAATCTGTGATAAAACTGGATTCCTGGATTTGGGTGTTTACTTTGACTGTCATTTAAATTATGAAAAACTAGTCTTGTAAAATATGCATTTGTTAAATTTAAGTCAATTTATTGTTATAAAAACTTTTTAAGTTGTGATTTGAAATGGAAACTGTGTAATAGTATTATTTTAAGTTCATTTAACTATTGCTGTTGTCCGTATTTTAATGTAGCTAGTAATTAATTCAAAAATAGAGTTTAAAAAGTTCAAAATTGTTGTCTAGGGTTTTCTTTTAATGTTAGATATAGAGATCATGTAACCCCATTTTATGTAAGTCTAAATATAATATTTATGTAAGTCTAAATGTAATATTTTAAAATGCGAATATGTTTTTAGAATGAGAATAAGAATACTTTATTATCATCAAAAAAATACATGACATGTCAAAAATACACTTAAAATAGGCAACATCTAATAATAAAACCAATATATATAAAGAAAATATGTAGCACAATAATTACATGTTAAAATTAATATTAAAGAATTCGTGTACACTATACAAACATTGAGTTATAAAAATTTCTTTTAAAGCATTAGCAAACATTTCACGGTTAAGTTGCTTAAGACTATCAGATAATTACTTAAGTGATTGTACAGTTTAGGACCCCAGTAATCCACATATCTTTGAGTTGCATTTATCCTATGAAAAGGTATTAAAAATTGTTCCCTGTTTCTTGTGTTATAATTGTGAGTATTACAATTTTTTTTAAATTTATTTTTATTAAAATTTACATACTTCAAAACATTCAAGACATACACACTATAAAATGTAAGTATTCTTTCTTTCTTAAAATATTCCTTACAACTATCAGTCTTTTTTAGTGAAAACAAAGCGCGCACTGCTCTTTTCTGAAGAATAAACACCCTTTGTGACTTATTTGCTTCACCCCATACTATGATTCCATAGGACATAAGGCTGTGAAAATTAGCGAAGTAAGTCATTTTTGCACATTGATGAGTTGCACTCCAGTGTAATTTACTGTCGACCCATACTCCTAGAAATTTTATTTGGATTTGTGGAGCTATTATTCTTTGTTTAAAATCCAGATGCTGTGTCTTGTCCTTGTTCAATTTAAGTATATTTGTATTGAACAAATCTTGAAAATTATTTAATGCCTCTTCAGTCTGTTGTTTAATTTCCATGTCACTGTGACCTGTGATAACCAGAGATGTATAATCAGCATATACAGATATTCGAGGAATGTCTACTGCAAATAATATCATTGGTGTAAATTATAAAAAGTATTGGTCCTAAGACAGAGCCCTGTGGTACTCCAACTGTCACTTTTAGTTTGGGTGAAACTGAGTCATTCCATTTTACACTTTGTTCCCTATCTTGCAGGTACGATAGTAGCAGATTATAAGGTATTCCCCTTACCCCATAGAAATACAGTTTATTCATTAGTATGGTATGATGGACCGTATCAAAAGCTTTGCTTAGGTCACAGCAGACTAGTTGATTCTGCAATGAATTGTCTTGACTCTGAACAACGGTCTCCAACATATCCAGCAATTCAGTAATGGTTGATTTGTTTTTCCTGTAACCATGTTCGTTAGAATTAAAATTTTTATTTTTTTCAAAGTATTCAACTAATCTATTTTTTATCACAGTTTCTAAAAGCTTTGATAATACAGGTAAAATGGATATTGGACGATAATTATCACAGATTTTTGAATTTCCTTTTTTAAGAATAGGTATTATTTTGGCGTTTTTTAGTCTTTTTGGAAAGACTCCCTCTGATAGACATCTATTAAAAATGATTTCTAGTGGGACACACACTGAATACATTATTTTCTTTAAAATTGTGGATAAGCCATCTACATCTTTGGTATTATTGTTTTTAAACTGACTAGACATTTTTAAAATTTCATCTGTAGTTACAGGATTAAAATAGCAACTTTTTGTGTTTTCAATTTTTATCTTGTTTAAAAAGTATTTTGGAGGATGCTTACCTTTTTCTATTTCTTTTTGAGTATTTTCTCCTATTTTTTTTAAAAATATATTAAATTGTTCAGCTGTTAACTGACAGTCTTGATTTTTATTTGTGTTTGATTTTATTTCTTTATTAATAACATTCTATATGGCCTTTTGTGTATTATTGGCATTTAAGATAATTGATTCATTGGCGTCCTTATTAAGTTTTTCTTGAAAATTGTTGTATAATATTTTGTATGACTTGTATGCTTGTATGGATTGATCCTCTTTGGTGACTAAAGCTACTGTATTTAACGCTTCCAGGACATTTTTCATGTTTAGTATTTCGGGGTTTGTTAAATTTTTTTTCCTGAGGACATTTTGTTTAAAACTTTTTATAATTTCTGGAAAAATTTCATTATATTTGGATAGAAGAACACATTAAATGAATCTTCAGCATCCAAGTTGTTTAGTAGATGTTCCCATGGGTAGCCTAGAAATTGGTAAGCAAATACGTAAGTATTATATTCATTAATATTTCTTGATACTGTTGTTTTGTACACGCTATTATTTTTAGAAAACCATATGATGCTCTGTGCTTTGTGGTCACCCAAATGTAGATTTTCATTGTAACATTTGTAGTCGTTTTTGATATTTGTAAAAATGTTATCAATACATGCTTTTGACATGATTCGTGTACTGCCTGTTATTTTTTGCCTTAGAAAAAAGCTATTTAAGAGATCCAAAAGTCTTATTGTGCTATTGGACTTTTTATTAAAGTCTACATTGAAGTCCCCAGTTAAAAACCAGCTATAATTTTTATTTGCAAATTTATGGGTTATATAACCCAGAACATCTTCTAGTACATGCAGGAAAGTTTCGATATTACCTTCTGGTGATCTATATGTGGTGATAATTATGCATTTATTTTTAGGGTCCTCCACTCCGACTATTTCAATATGTTGTTCGATGCTATAACTTTTTATTTATTCAATTTCTTTGTGTTCGTTGTTCACTTTGTTAAGTATGAGAACTCCTCCATGTATTTTGTTTGCTCTACAATAAAGGGATGCCACATTATAGTTTTTTATTAAAAAAAATGTTTTATATGGGCTTGCGTAAGCCAATGTTCACACACGCACACATAGTCGAGGTCAGAATTGTCTAAAATGTTGTTTAGTTGATCTATTTTGTTAGTTATGGATTGGATATTGACATGCATTATGGAGATGAGTTTCTTAAGCTTTATTTGAGGCAAATTTGCCTCGAAAAAACTTAAATCTTCTAACCAGTATACCTTGTGGCCACACTTGATTTTAAAGTTGAAGCCCACCTTAAAAGACTTATTTTTGCTTGTATTTTGCTCATGCTTTTGAATTTCCTCCACTTTAAACGTTTCATTCGGAAATTTGCCCATTAGGTACTCCTGTATTTGTTGACAGTTTGTGGTTGCATTGACCTTGCCTACGTAAAACCATGCTAGACTATCTGCGGCTCCAAAAATGTTTCCACCTGTTGCTGTTCCTTTTATTGTGGCTGCATTATTCTTTTCCTTCTTCTTATTAGTAACAGTAGTCCACTTCTCTTGTACTGTTTCTACTGGAGGAATTTCACTATTATCCTTAGATTGTATTAATGTTTCTTTTGAATTGTTATCCTCGCTGGTTGAGGGATTCTGTTTTTGTGGTGTTTATGCCATCTGTTGTTGGGTAGTGGTTGTAACATTTATATTTTTGTCGACTTTTAAATTTGATGTGGCAATTTTATTGTTTTTTTTCTTCATTTACTGATGAATAATATACAATACTTGCATTTGATTTTAACTTCAATTGTTCTTCTAGTCTAACAATTTTTTTGACGAGAAGTCTGTTATTTTCCATAACTACATTATTTTTGCTTATTAATTCATCAATCAAAATTTTTTGATAACGAATTTCGATTTCACTAGCACTTTTTTGTTCGAACACTTCTTCCTTCTCAAACTCATTAATGCACTCAGTTTTCACAGCTAATTTTACACATCCTGGATGGTAAAAGTTTTTACATTTGGAACAACTCAGTTTATCGCGAACTATCGCCTTTTTACAGTGTTTACACACAAATTCTTCCGGAGCTTCAGAAGACGAACCTGAGTCCGCCGCCATGACACTTTATTTTAACTGTCAATTGGGCACTTTAATTTTTAATGTTTTAAAAACAGGTGAACCATCTTATTTATTTATTTTATTGCAATTCCCCAGCATAAATCTGCTAAATTTCAAAATTGTTTTCAATATTTGGCGCCTAAATTTATAAATGAAAACTTAAATATTTTTTCTTTAGATGTCTCTATGATAACATTTAAAAAAGACCTTAAAAAGCAAAGTTTAATCAACCAAAGAAATATTTGTTCAAATTTGTTTGTTACCTGATACTTATTTATTTATATTTGTTTATTTCTAAGTTATGGTTTAAGCGGTAGACCAGCTATGCTGAGCTTACACCCATTGTGTTTTGTATATTATGTATATTACGCAATAAAGTTTATATTTATTATTATTATTATACACTCGCTTAAAATATTGCTTTATGCTTGTAAATGGAAGAAAAGCCCCCTGGCCTGCTTCGTTAGATGAACATAACATAAAATATTACTTGAATTTTACTTAAAACACATTTTATTTCTTAAAATATGCTTGAAAAATGTCGCACAATGCATTTACTGGGGGTATCACACTTTTTTCTTGCTTATTTATGCTTATAAATGGAATAAAAGCCCCCTGGCCTGTTTTGGTAGCTGAACCGGAGATATTTCTTGAATTTTACTTAGGACACATTTTCTTGCTTGAAATATGCAAAACAATGGATACATTTGGTGTATCACACTTTGTTATTGTTTATTTATGCTTGTAAATGGTATAAAAATCCATTGGCCTGTTTTTGAGATTAAACATTTGTTGTTACTGTTTTTCAGAATTAGTTGTGGATTAATACCTAAATTATAACTATTAAAATTACACTTAAGACGCATTTTTCTGCTTAAAATATGTAAAACAATGCATAAACTTGTATTGTAACACATTTTAACACGTTGAATACGACCGGCCACTATAATGGCCACAAAATGTTCTAAAAATGTACCGCGACCACTATAGTGGCCGGCAATTTAAAGTATTTTAAACGCGGACTGGCTTGCCGCCGTACAAAATAGAAGGTTTGATTTAGTTGGGTGGTACACAGAAGCGATTGTGGAAACGCCTACGGCCACTATATTGGCCATGTAGTACCTACATTAGTCGTTTGTTTACACGTGTGCTGGACAGGTGTTTTTTTCGTTTTATGCTACTTTTTTTTCCTTTTGGGTGTGTAAGTGGTGAATACAACTATTATGGATAATTTTAACAAAAAAGGCAGGAAGAAATTAAAGAGTTGGCAAATCGTTGTGATGACAGTCTGAGCTTTGAGGACCCCTACTTAAGCGACGATTCGGAGGCCGATAAAAATAACTCTCCAAAAGCAGATCAAACTGATTCTGATGATTCGGAATACAGTGTCACTACAGCAGACCATAGCGAAATTGAGGCTGAAGTTGCTTACAATATAACAGATCCTAATCAAGCTATTGATGCTGATCCTGGATGGGAAGATACGGACTTCGACCATGAAGTTGATTTCGTTGGACAACCTGCTTTCAATGTGAACCGAAAGATTCGCCGCCTATAGTTTCTTGACATTTTTTTTGATGAGGATATCATGAAAACCGTCGTTGAAGAGACTAACCGCCGAGCAAATACTTTTTTTCAAAACAAGCCTCAAACAAGGAAAAATCGTCGAGACACTTGGAAAAACTTGACAGTTGTAGAATTGAAGAAATTCATAGGTTTGTGTCTGCTGGGGGGTACAGTAAAATTTCCTGCCCTGTTCAAGCAATGGAGTCAAGATCCGTTATATTACACATTACAACACGATTTCCCTCCCATGAAAAATTTTAGCAGATTTTGAAAATAGAGGTAAAAAAAACGTACCCGTGTCTCACAGTTTCACGAGATCACGTCATAAAAAAATTTTAAGCCGTTATTCCTATTATTTATGCTTATACAGATTGTACATTTTTTACTCGGTTAAAAATATATTTTTTTGTAAATATTGTATGTTTTTACACAATTCAAAAAACAAATATAAAAAAAGTTTATATTTTGAATTTTTTTAAATATTTTTTTTTTTTTTTTTAATGAAACACATTTTTGTATTTATCTTATATTCAATACATGTTGGAATAAAATCTTGGTCGTTTAGTTTGACGATTATACAGCTCGTTCAGACTAAAACCGAATATATCTATATATATATATGTAAAATATGTATAATAAAAAACTGAGACGTGATCTAAAAAAAACCTTATAGGGTTTTTTGTAGAAGCTATTACCTTTCATTTGCTTTTGGTTTCATCCCATTCCCTTTTGCACTGTTGCACTGTGTAATTAGTAGTTAAGTGTTTAGTTAGTGTAATGGTTAATCCATAGGGTTTAAAAACTTTTACTTTCAACTTGCGAGGTTGACACTCGATCTTCGTAGTGGACTGTATTATTGAATTATGTTCGTGGGATGCAGGTACAAAGGCACTGGCATACTTTCACATTAATTTATTCGCTTGTTACATTTTCTTAGAGCGCTGAACATACGCACGTCTACACTCTACAATGGCTACATTGCTACTGTCTGTTCGCCCCACCTCGTCTACTCTCGAACATTCTCGAACCATCATCGAGCGGCAAATTCAAATTAAGTAAATTAAAAAAATAAGTAAAAAACGTACAAACAAGCCGGACCCCTTGAGAGAACCCAGTTCTTTCAACAAATGAACAAATCAAATAAATGAAAAACATATTAATAAATTTTTCTTAACCTAATATACAACATTCTGAAACATGTATTATGAATCATTGATTGGCAAAACACCACAACACTGTCACCATTTGTTTGCACTGTAACCACTCTAGTAACACCATCACTGCCGGGATGAACGAGGGAAATTCGCCCAAGACGTCAATTCAAAGGGGCGGTATTGGAATCCTTCAGCAATACCATTGCTCCTGGGACGATCAGATCCGTTTGTTGAGGACGCTGCCACTTGCAGCGCTGTTGAAGGGTAGATACATATTCAGAAGTCTAGCGTTGCCAAAAATGCTGGAGCATTTGTTGAAGGCGTTCATAGGACTTCAGCCGATTCTCCTTGATGTCTCTAACATCACATTGGGGAACACTTTTGAGCGCATCGCCAATTAAAAAATGTCCGGGTGTTAAAGCAGTCAAATCCGTGGGATCATTGGAAAGAGGGACAAGGGGTCTCGAATTCAAAACTGCCCCCACTTGGCAAATAATAGAATACAAATTTTCATAAGTTAAACTTGCATTTCCGACAATTCGCTTTAAATGATACTTAGCCGATTTTATACAGGCCTCATGAAGACCGCCAAAATGAGGCGACCTTGCTGGCATAAAACTCCAAGCAATTGAATTATTAGTCAAATAATTAGAAAGTTCATTCTTAGTCTTTATGCTACACAACAAGTTATTGGCGCCCACAAAATTGGTGCCATTATCTGAATAAATAGTTTTACATAAGCCTCTTCGCGAAACAAATCGTTTCAAGGCATTTAAAAAAGACTCAGTGGTCAATTTAGTGGTCAGTTCCAAATGACATGCCTTCGTGGCAAAGCACACAAAAACACATAAATACGCTTTAATTAATTTACGATTCTTGAGCTTTCCGTCTTTAATCATGAATGGACCACCAAAATCGATACTACAATTGGAAAAAGGTCTCGATGGAGACACGCGAGCCCTAGGTAATTCATCCATCAACGGCGATACAGTTTTAGGCTTAACTCTGTAACATTTGATACACCCTCTTAGAATTTTCTTTGTAAATTCTCTACCATTTATAGGCCAATAATTTTCCCTAACAGCTGCCAATGTGGTTTGAGCACCTGCGTGAAGCATTCTTTCATGTTCATGTAAAACAACAAGTCTTGTAAAAGTGTTATTTTTGGGTAAGATTACAGGATGTTTTTGATTATACTCAATGGGTGCCTTGTTTATCCTTCCCATTACTCTAATAATACACTTCTCATCCATAAATGGATGCAATGAGCATATTTTACTAGTTTTCGATACAACTTTTTGACGTTCTAAAGATTTCAGCTCATCGTGAAAACACTTGGCTTGTACTAATTTTACCAATAAACTCATTGAATTATTTATTTCCTCAACAGTCAATATCCCAGTTACTTTATTTTTATTTTTAATATTATGCAAAAACCTCAAACAATATGCAAAAACTCGCCTTAATTTGTTTAAGGAAGAAATCCTATCAAAAATATCCAAGGTTACCACATTTACCAAAACGACCTCCTTAATTTTACGCTGTTCTGGTAGATCTGACAATAATGTAAATTTAGGATTTGACCACGTATCCTTTGATCGAAGTAACCAAGAAGGACCGTTAAACCATAACGAGTCATCTATCAAACTGCTAGGACTGATGCCTCGCGATATTACATCTGCTGGGTTTTCATTAGAAATTACGTGACGCCACTGAGTTTTATCAGTAAGACGTTGTATCTCGGCAACTCTGCCACCTCACAGGTTCAGAAGCCAGCCAGGACAAGACTATTGTTGAATCAGACCAAAAATACTGATGTTCAAACTTTAATTTAAAACCTTCTTTAGCCTTTTTTGTCAGCTGCGCAGCTAACACCGCAGCGCAAAGCTCTAATCTAGGCAAAGTTATCATCTTTAGTGGTGCGACGCGTGATTTCGCGCACAATAAACATTAACATTTCCTAATGCATCTTCAGACTTGACGTACACGCATGCGCCATAAGCGGCTTGAGACGCATCGCAAAAAATATGGAATTCAATAGCGATCGGGTTTCTTAACAAAACGTGTCTAGGTACCGACAAATCTACTATAGTTATGAGTTGTTTATAGAATTCTAACCAACTCTCTTGCAACTGAACCGGAACTGCTTCATCCCAGTCAATTTTTAACTTCCAAATTTCTTGTAAAACGATTTTAGCTTTTATAGTAATAGGGCCTATAATACCCAACGGGTCAAAATTTTTTGATATCGCTGACAAGATCGCGCGTTTCGTGACAAAA